TTCTTGGTGCCTCGCTGCCGGTGCCGCTGTGGTTACAAGGTTGTTAGTTGTTGCGTGAGCTAAAGGTGGAAAGTAGAGAGTGAAGGCGTAAATAACGGCTTACACGGTTGTTCACGGTGAGTTAGAGAGAAACATGGTGGAGATAAAAAAAAGTGTGAGTGTGATCTTGATGAAGGTGAAAGGAAAATAGACTAATGAATAGTGTAAAAGGGTAAGTTTGTGTTGATTCGCCGGCAGCTCGGGGTGGCTATGGTGCGATAGTCAGTTGTGTTAACAAAAATAGGTAAATAATAATGCTATTTTATTGTTGCAATAAATATATATTAATAATATAAATAAAAAGAGTACACAAGAAAAATATCATAAGTGCTCAACTATCCTAATTTTTTTTTGAAAGTTCAGTATTTAAAGTCAGAGCATGTTGTTGAAATTGAATCACCAATGCAACTTGATCACTTTTACTCATAATATCAATCAATGAACCTGCAACATAGTAAATTGTTAAACAAACTTAAGGTGTTGAAGAACAATGTTTTTAAGGATTTATTCACTTCATAAGTGCAAATCCCTCGAGATTCAACAGTTTCTTCCTAGATTCTCATTATGAATCTCAGGTATCCGAACAACAAAAAATATTCTTCGAGATGACTGAAAGATGTAACTAAAAAGCAAAAAAAAATAAAAACAAGAAAAGGAAGTATAAAAGATGTATTGTCATATCAATATAAAGTGTTATCTATTTTTCTACGACGTCCAAAAGTAAAAGAGTAGATGATTGTACGAGATAGATAAATTGTTTTTAATGACTTAGACTAAGTCAAGTCAACATTATAATAAATTCATTATTGACCACGGTAATTTTTCATATAAATTATAAAATAATAATAATAATATAAGTCATGTAAACATTATTTGAGCTTTTGAGTGTTTCTGAGTTATTTAATTCTTTTAATTATTTGTATGAATGTGGTTAGTAACTATTATAATTTTATTTATTTAAAATAATGGAGAAAATAAGATTTTGAAACTTTGGGAGAAAAATAGTGTTTTTAATAAAATAGGGAGAAGAGTGGAGTTAGTGAAAGTTGAGGGGAGTTTTCAAATATAATTAAAATAAAAGAGAATTAAGTTTTATTTATTTAAATGGCAGAAATATTGACTAGGTCCTTTAAGTTATTTTAAAATAACAAGTTAGTCCCTTAAGTTTTTTTTTGCAACAATTGGGTCCTTTATGTTAAGTAACGTTTGCGTCGTTAACCTTTTTTCGAATTTCCGTTTCAAAAAAGCCTATCTGGCACAGACGAAGATGAAGTGGCAGTTAAAAGTGGTGATGTGTCATGGATGGTTGCTGAATTGACATATGTCTCCTTCTTTATTAGATTTATGAAAATCAAAACTCTAAATCCCCAAATCACAAATCACATACTTTGAACCCTAAATCTCAATACTCTATCAACGACCTCATATGGTAGCAGTGTGAAATTCTGGCACTCTAAAACATGTTGATACTAATGTCCTTACATCGGAACATAATGTCAAGATAGATGTTACAATATCTTCTGTCTGACAGAGCAAATAAATCAAACTGAAAATAAATTGCAGAAAGATAAAATAACACAGTCAATTGTTAATCCAGATCGGTGCAACATCACCTACATCTAGGGGCATCCAAGCCAGGAAGGAAATTCATTATGATAGCATTAGTTCAAAGCTAAACTCCTCCATTTAAAACTTTTCGCCTCACTACCTTGTGCAAATTCTACCTAGAAACCCTCTAGATATAAGATCCCTCTCTCACTTCCTAACAGTCACAAACCAGTGATAATTCAATAATAACCCAAAATAGAAGTACCCACCCTTCCAAGTACAATACTTAGTTTTGCTTAAAAGCTTTGATTAAGATCAATACACTCTTGCTTAAAATATTTAGAGTGAAAAATTAACAACATACAACCAGTCTACCTCAATATATTAAAAGATACATGGGTGAGTTGCAAAGTCACACTAAAGAGACTCTCAAAACCTAAGACTCTAAAACCTCCCCTTATTTTTACAAAAGTGTAAGTCGTAAATACATTAGGTTTAGGTTGCTCTTTAAATAATCCTCAGCAGTCCATGATTTTCGAAATCTTCACCCAGATATTGCTTGATCCACACGCTGATGGTTGCATCAATTATGCAGAAAAATCTCCTTAAATCTTGAAACAAATCATCAAGTTTCCTAAATTATCTCAACATCCAATTTTAGAAACTTATGAACAATTGGAGATCAAATCAAATGTTCCAGATTAAATCTTCTCGACCTGTGAAAATAAGTGAGATATATCCAAAAGAAATCTCACAGAATCAAATCAAATATGTCAAGAATAAACCTACATCCTATACTGATGTTCTGGTATAGCACGTCACAACATCTGTCAGAATATCTTTCTTCAATGTTGACAGACCAACAAGTTAGGGCATTTCTCCCAGCATCTTTCTGTGAATCATGTTTTAGCAAAATTTTTATCAATCCTAAAACCATGGAACTAACATAGTGAACAAAATATAAGATGTTTGAATGCTAATACATTCATATCGAGTGCATCCCAAACTGGAATTGAACCGACATCTCTGTGTGGAGCCAAAGCAGTGTTGAGAACATTTAAGAAGAAAGGAAGAAACTTGGGGATGCAGATACTTTGTTGTATGTTTGTTCTTTAACATTGTTGGTTTTGGATTTAGTTTATGCAAATGTAATTAGTTTTTGTTTATGGTTGTGTATATGTTAACAAAGTAAAGATGAAAATATCGGTTGCAAGTTTTTTACGTGATATGAAAACCATCACAGTGACGAAGTTAAACAAAAGATACAATCCTCACTAATTTCCAAATGTTCCAAATGTGATGGAAAGGATGTTGAAATTAAGTTGCTTAGAAGTTTAATTAATAAGGATGAGAAATACACTAAGAAGATCATGAGGAACTTGTTAGAGATGTTAAATATGCTAGGCTATGTCACTATGTTGTTAGTTTTGATCTTTGCAATGTTATGTGTATTTTGGTTTAAAATTGGAAATTGTTGTTAATTTTCATTGTAAGTCATAAGTTGTGGTACTTTCATGTAGAAATTCTTGACAATGGTTTGTTTAACTATTATTCGTTGCAATTATTGGCAATGGTTAATGAAACAATTTTGTGTTGCAATTCTATAATTGTGTTATAATTTTTCACAGTTATGTTATAATTTGTAGACAGTTATGTTATACTATGTACACCAGTAAAAATTAGTCTTAAGCATTTGTGTTACAATTCAGCAATTCTATACCACAACTGTCACAATTATGTTATAATTTATACACCAGTCAAAATTGGAAGGACCTGTTTGTTATATTTTAAAAACATACGAGACGCTAGTGTTACAAATTAAAAACATGATGTGCGTGATTGTTAAAAATTAAAAACATGAAGGACCTTTTTGTTACATTTTAAAATATATCTGACATGTTATTTTACACAATTGTGAATCTCAAACAAATTTCAAACTTAACCTTAAACAATAATTGATATTCTGAACCTTAAACAATTATAGGACAGAATACCAAGCATTACATAAACTAATCATGGTCAAAGCATTGTTATAATGTTAAAAACCAAAACAGATGTCAATAGAACAAATCCTAAAACATTACATGAGATTGTTATGGTTCAAATAGATCCAAAAACATTACATAAGATTATTTTATAACTCAACAAAATATAACATTGTTATAGAATTCAACATAATTAAACAGATAGCTAAAAAGATAGTTTATCTGGTCTTTCTCCTAATAGTTAACTTTGGTTTCATGGTTGTTGGTGGCTGAAATATTGTGTACCAACCTATCTTCCCCTTCTCATAACAAGTAATTGTGACATTGAGATGGACTATCGTGTCTGGATTCTGGAAGATGATGCTGACAATCTAGTTTGAACTCTTTGGGTTGGTTGGGATTGGATAATTGGAACTGGAGTTGTTGTTTGGGATTGTCTAGTTTGAACTCTTTGGGTTGATTGTGATTGGACAATTTGTACTTAAGGGGTTATTTGGGATTGTCTAGTTTAAACTCTTTGGGTTGGTTGGGATTGGACAATTGGGACTGAAGTGGTTGTTTGGGATTGAACAATTTGAGATTGGATAGTTTGGACACTTGTTGCAGTTTTGGCATGTTTTGGTTTTGCAGGACATGATGCTTTGTTGTGTCCAGAAATACCACATATTAAACATTTATTTGGAAGCCCCTTCCTTGAAACACTTTTTGAATCCTTTCCCTTTTCATCAGGCTCCTTGTTTCTTCTTCTTTTGGCCTCCCTAGTGCTCTTCTTGAAGGTGGTGGAAGTATGTCAGGATAAAGTGTATGTTCCCATAAATTTTCCCCATTTGTTGGATATATGAATGGTTGGCAGCAAGCTTGGTATGCCTCCTTCTTATAACATGCAGAGATGTACTCATTTGGGTCTAGAGATCTACTCTACATGCAAGAAATTGCATGGTAGCATGGAATGCCACTGAGCATCCAGCTTCTACAAGAGCACTCCAACCTTTTGAGATAAATTGTAAAACTTTCACCAGTCAAACTTCTATGCCTTACTTCATAAATTATGTCACTTGATAACCTTTGAAACAAATGCAATTCATTAAGTTAGTGTTAATAAACTTAAAATATTTGTAAAAGTAATTTGTAAATTATGAATTTTTGATGTACCTTGGTATAAAAAACCTAGAGATGTCTTGCCTTCTTTCAATCACTTTTTTAATTTTTTGGAAGAATATACTCCCTATACTCTTCAATCCTGGCTCTATTAGTTGCATATCTATCCATGAGGTACCCTCTAATCTCCTCCAACATTGTTATTGTTTGCTTTTGTCTTGGTCCAATTATAACATTGTTAAAAGTTTCAGACATATTGTTCACCAACGCATCACTTTTTGTATTGTATTTGAACATAGACTTACTCCAATATCTTGGAGGAATCTTCAACTAGTGTTTGAATGCCTCCTCATTAACCTTTCTCATTTCCTTCATTTCCCTTTCCCATGCTTGAGGATATGTTGCCTTGGCTACCATCCACATCAATTCCTTCAAATGTTTGCCTGTAAACCTTTTTTTGAAGTTGCTATAAAGGTGTCTAACACAAAATCTCTGGTTAACTCCAAGTAACAACTCATCTATTGCAGGTAACAACCCCTAATCATAAATTAAATACACTTTTTTACAATGCACACATGATATTTATGTTTCAATTTGGAATCCTAAAGGACAACATTATGACATTTTAAAATCATGAAAGACTTGAATGTCACATATTTATGACACTATATAACAACGCTCATATGACATTTATGTTACAAATTAAAATTATGCAGGACATATATGGTACAATTTAAAATCGTGAAGAACATAAATGTTACAAATTAAAAACATGAAGAACATGTATCTAACCTTCTGCTATTTTGAAATAAATGTTACATTTTTACAAACTTCTGACCCTCCCAAGTCACGAACTAGCAGATCAAAGAACCATGCCCAGAAGTCTTTAGTCTCTACTTCAACTAAAACCATTGTAGTAGGAAACATTTGATCATTAGGGTCTATTCCTACTGCTGCAAGGATTTGGCCTCCATAAATTCCTTTTAGAAAACATCCATCAACTCCAATTATTGGTTTATAAACTGTAAAAATCTTCCTACAAGCATCAAGGCACATATACAATCTATGAAAACTTGGTAGTAATGGTCTACTAACATATTCTTCAGGTTGTTGTTCAGTTTCTTGGACATTTAACTTGATGGTGTTGTTTGGATTTGACCTCAATACCTCATGTGCATAGTCATACAACCTTAAAATTCACTCCTTGAATGACCCTTCAACAATATTCAATGCTATCTTCCGTGCCCTATAAGCTTTCATCCTGCTTATACCAACATTCCATTTCTCATGCACTTTTTCACATATAGCAATCAACTTAACATTAGGGTTGATTGTAATTGTTGTGTACAATTTCTTCCCAAGCCAATTAAAATTAAACATTCTAACATTGAACTCTCTATTACAAGTTTGAATGTCATTTAGTGTTCTCAATTGCCATGTATCTGCATTAGGTAATTTTGAACATAAGGCCACCCATGGACAACCTTCCTTGCAACCAACTATAACCTTAGTCTTGTCATTCTTCACATACCTTAAACCCATTTCATTATGAACATCATAACTTACAATAACTTCATCTGTTAGTATTCAACATTAGGTTGATTACTTTGGCCTGCAGGTAATACTTATTCTCCTACAAATACTTTAGCAAATCCATCATTTAAAACCTCATCATCTGAGTCAACAAAATCTCTTTCTCCTAATGCACTTTCATCACTATCATCAGGTTGGGCCTCATTTTATTCCTCATGTTGGTCCACACTTTGATCCATATTTTCTTCAACAGGATGATGCCTACACATATCCACATTTTGTTCCTTAGCTTGGTCCACACAATCCTTCACATTTTGTTCCTCATGTTGGTCCCCACTTTCATCCACATTTTCTTCAACCACCCGGTCCCCACACACATCCATATTTTGTTCCTCATCTTGGTCCACACAATCCTCCATATTTTATTCCTCACGTTGGTCCTCACAATCCTCTACATCTTGTTCATCAGGTTGGTCCCTACAATCCTCCATATTTTATTCCTCAAGCTGGGCCTTAATAGTTTGTGTTTCAGGTATGGAAACAACTAAATCAGATTGCTCAATGGGTGGACTATGTATATGTCAACCTTCCCCTTAGTATTGGACTAGTTTAGTGCTTCTATTGCACCAAAATCATCTTCCAGCGCCTTCAATGTTCTAGCAAAGTCATACCACAATTCTTGAACTCCTAGATACTTCATTTCCTTAATAACCCCAATATTTCAAAGTAACTCCATCTGTCATCATCACATTTCCAATTTGACACTTCACCTCCTATATATTTGCCATCAACGAAATACCTCCCATGATGAAAGTCAACATGAAACTCATCCATAACCATTATGTTCCTGTTTACATAAACCCAAAATAAGAAACATACCCTAATTGAAACTAACATTACTTATAAGCAACACTAACCTAACCATCAACCTAAGTTCTATCATGCAGGATTGTGTAAGTGTACGTACCTAAATATGTAAGTGTACGTCTAAGTGTACGTAACCTAACTATTCAAATAATGAGAACCATAGAAAACAACCATCATCGTGTAAGTGTATGTGCCTAAATGTATCATGTACACAATGGTTTCTTCACCTTCAATGTATCATGAACACAAGAGGAAGAAGAATCTTCACCAACTATTACACTTTTAATCAGCAAGGGGAAAAAAATTAGGATTATGTAACCTAACTTTGGGGATTACACATGCTTAAACACTTGAGGAATAACACAAATGCCAATTCAACAACTGTCCATGATACATCACCTCTATTAACTGCCATTTCACCTTCGTCTATGCCACATAGGCTTTTTTGGAACGAGGATTCTAAAAAAGGTTAACGATGCAAACGTTACTTGACATAAAGGACTCAATTGTTACAAAAAATAACTTAAAGGACTAACTTATTATTTTAAAATAACTTAAAGGACCTAAACAATATTTTTGCCTATTTAAATAAAAAAGTTGGGAGAGGTTTGTTAGTACGTGTTTTTGGGGAAAAGAGGCAAGAGAAGAGAAATCCCAGGAGAGCTTTTGGAAGGAAAAGAGAGAATATCCATAGCTAAAGCTTCAAGTTTGCTGCAAATTCAAGGTAGAGAAAGAGGGTGGGGGACTTGTTCATGATATGAGTGTTTAGGAATGAAGGATATAGATGATTCCTTATCCTATTTCCCCTTTCTTTCTATTTTCTTCCATTGGTGAAATTGTTGAATCTTGAGATGGTTTGTGCAAAACCTCTCTTGATTGATGTGATATGTTGTGAATTTCGTGTTGTATTGGTGCCTTATTTTTGTATGAAATTATATGTGCAATTATAATTTATGATGTTCATGTTGATATGTTTTAAATTGATGAACATGTTAATGGTTTTATGGTAAATCGATGATATAAATGATTAGTTTATACAAAATCGACATGTTTAATGTTGTATAAGTGATATACAATGATTTGTTGTAAGCTTTAGGTTTTTTAGGATTAAAATCGAAGCTTCGAAAGTGCTCTAATGGAGAAAATTAATAAATTTGCATTCTGCACAGCGGTGATGGGTGTCACCTTCGTAACGGGGCAACAACCATTGCAATGGAATAAGTTGACAAACGTTAACAAGGTGATGGATCGATCGTCATGGCCTAAAGGACGAGTTCCTTGCCCATACGTCAACATGACGACGAGTTTGCGAGAAAGCGGTGACAGGTAGGCGTGACGGCCGTCATGCCTAGATGACTGGCCATCAACCATTGTTTAACCAATTTTAGGTCATTCAACTCGATTTTTTGAGTCGATTCTAATTTCGATGTTTATTCAATGTTGTTTTGTTACTATTGATGAGTATTATCAAGAAATTATATAATTTAATTATTATGTTGAGTTTGTGACGAATGCCTCACGATGAGGAAAAATGTTGGGTATATGCTGAGATGTTTGGTTTAGAGAGGAACCATTTGTTTTGGACTTGTACTGGCGATGTTTATGTTGAGTTTAGGTCCAGAAAGGAACCAATGACAAGAATTGGAGTTTGAGGTTTGAGATGATTATTGCATTTTTTTGTTGCATTCATGCATCATGTATATCTGGGAAAGGTAGGACTTTAATCCAATAACGAGTTAAGACTTCGGTCTAGTAGTGAGTCTTAGGTTCGGAGAGGAACCAATGACGAGTTTCATGGTTCAGAGAGGAACCAGGTTCATAGAGGAACTAATAACGAGTGGATGAATTAGTAACATATCTATCATATCCAAAACCTCGGTACCATATGCATTGGAGTAGAGGAGATGAATACATTGCATGCATAACCACATTTGTGATAGATTATTGTTGAGGATGATTTATGTGATTGATGATTGATATTAATTGCATCATCCTTGCTATTTTATACATCATTAACATATATGAATGTATTCTCACCCCCTTTTTGTTTGTCTGTGTTGTTCTTTACGCGTGTGGTGCAGATTCTCAGGTAGATAAGCCTTAGATGTTGTTGTGTTTTGGAGGATGGTGTAGTGACCTTCTTCGTTATTTATTGCTTTTGAGTCTATTTTAGTTTCCACATGTCGTTTTGATAGTGTACCACCGAGACAAAAAATAATGGTGTGTTTGTATTGCGGATTATAAATTTATTCTCTGGAAAATCATTCCTAAGATTATGGTGGCAGGAATTTTATTCTTGGACATTTGTAAAAAAAAAAGTGTTTGGTAGGGATATTCATTTTAAAAGTAAAAAAAGTAATTTATAATTTTTTCTTTAATTAAATATTATAAAAAATAGATTTTATAATTATTTTAATAGATTTATTCATCACACATGACAAATTTGTGGAGGAATAGTAGTTACAAAAAGAACGGATGAGAATTAAGAGTCCGTTTAATTTGGGATAGATTGAGGGGAGGGGGGGGGGGGATATTTATAAATATATGTGTTTGATTCATTTTTTATAAAGGGAGGGGAGAGGAGTGGGGCAAATTCTCTCATAGGCTCACTTTTTACTCTCTCTCAAATTGGGAGATTTGGAGGGGAGGGGTGATTTATTGTTTAGAATTTTATTATATTCCCTAATTTATCCTTAATTATTTATTTTAATTCCAAAAATTTTCTTATTGAATTATTAAAAACTAGGTTTAGGTTTTTCTCAGTATTGTTTCACGTTTCTTTTTTCTTCTATTGTTCTGTTGCTACATGTGCATTGTTGCTCTCAAGTGAGTTTTCCCCTTTTTGTTTTGTTGAGTTTTTTGTTTGTTTTGATTTTATGTTGTTTATACATGTAACATATAACTATAATCAGTGATTGATCGGTGGTCGTTAACTAAAAATTATGATTGCTCGGTTGTCCGTTAACTAAGTTGTGATTGTTTTGATTATAGTTATATATTATCAGACAAATTTCTTATTCCATGAACATTGAATATGCCACAAATGCTTTGAGAGTAATTATAAAATATATTCCATATTCAAATAAAATTTATTTGATAAGTTCCAAAGTAAACTTTACAAAACTTTAAATTCAATATGACTGTTTTTTTTGTCTGCACATAACAATGAGTTTATATGGATCACATTACAAATTTGACCTCTAGTTTACCTTGGTTCAATCATGTATTATAAAGCTTAATTTGATTGGACCTCTAATTGAACTTTTGATGCTGTAAGAGAAATAACATTTTCTAGTACTTCTGGGAATTTTGTGAAATTGCAATGAACAGTGAGTTAAAACACTGAGAATTCATCGTGAATGAGTTTTTATTTCTTGATATTTACTCAAAACTATTTTTATTTATAATTGTTTTTACTAAATATGAATGATAATTTATAAGGATAAAAAAGTAATTTAGTTTTAAAATCTCACCACTCCCCTTGTGAACCAAACATATATTTAGTTAAAATACATCTCATCCTCTCCCCTCCCCTCTATTAAATTCCATTCCCCCCTCCCTCCATTGAACCAAACAGACCCTAAATATTTTCATACTCATTAAGTGGGAATAGAATTCCTGACTTCATGGAAATAAGAACTTCCCAGTAACAATTT